AGGAATATTTTTTCATGAAATTGTTATTTATCCTCGAATGCGGAATAGATTGGAAATAATGTAAATTATTAAAGAAAGAAAGAGAGGGAGAGAAGTGTGAGTTACATACACGCGTATACTATCCTACGTAATTCACGATTCGACAGGATGAAAAATTAATGAAGGGCCATGTCGCTTATTCCGGATGTTCCGATGCTGCCTAATGGCTCGATAAATAGATAATCTACAACGAACGTTGAATAGTTTGCTACGAAAACTCGAAAAATGTAAAAACAATTAAAAAAAAAAGAGAGAAATAGTTGATCAACAGCCAATGGAAATGGGGACAAACGGTGTACACTGTTAGCACGATAAACTGACAAAAACAATGAAAATTTTTTTAATTAATTTCCCCTCCTTTGTATATATATGCAGTTATTTTTGACAAATCGAGCACGCTACGAGAATACGAGGATTACGAGTTGCCCAACATTTGGATTATTAAAAAATAATAAAAACAAAAGAGAAGAACTGACTTGTGATAAAACATAAAAAAAAAAAATGAAAAACAAGCAAATCTTGTCGTTCACCGAAATTGATTACAAATAACGAGATAAGTTAAACAAGTCGGAGATAGTGCAAATAAATAGAATTTTTGTTACTGTCGATAGATAACGCATCACACGTTATCGCAATCTAAACAACTTTGATTAATCCGTTGGATATTTCCATATGACGACGTAGATACGATAGTAAAATAATTTATATATATATACAAAAGTACATACATTTATTCGATATTGTATTAGTAACCTAAATTAACCATAACAAAACTAACCTCTTTAACTTTGTTCCTGCGTTCTCTAGCAACTTCATCTTTGTCCTCGCCACCAACAATCAAAGGAAGTTTTACCGCTGGAGCCGGTGGTACAGTTTCAAAAACTTGCTCATTTCGCACAATGACGGAAGATGAAAAACTACTCGTACGCACTCGCGAATCACTACCAACTATTTCCGGTTTCTCTAACGTCTTCTGTTGTTGATACTCTTCGTTGATTTTAGCCTGAAATTAATGTATTAAAGTGTATCTAATTTCTCCTCCCATTTAATAGGCACTTCGAGATCGTTATCACAAATAAAATTAGAATAATTAGAAAAACAAATAAATTAAAACACAAATGGAAGGCTGTGGTAGACATTTCGGAAAACGATCTCGTTTAATACAACATACCTCCTCCCCTACTACCCATTTTTTATTATGATATTGTGTCGTTCGAGAAAATGAATAATAAAGGAATTTATCAATAAATAAGCCGATAGAATAATAGGCTAAAAAATAAAATAAATAAGTTTCATATATTCCCGCCAATGTATCGAAAACACGCATGTGCGAAACGGAGCGCGGGTGTCTGCACGTGCATTTAACTCGTGCGTCATCGTGAGAGATCGAGGGGGTCGAACGTAAACAAACGGGAAAGGACGGAGACGCACGAACGTATACACAGCGCCATTCGCGTTCTCCCTCGTACGAACGTCAAGACTAAATCACACTACTCTCACGTTCTCTCATACGCTCTTTCGCTCTCTTTCTCTCTCTTTCTATATATATATGTATATATATACATATCCATCCATACGTCTCTGTATAGGACTTGACGTTTGACCGTGATTTCACCATATACGCGACGTGTTGTATTTCTCGCGAAAGTGAATGAGTGAGTGAGTGAGCGAGCGAGTAAGTGAATGAGTGACTGAATGAGTGAGTGAGCAAACAAGCAAGCAAGCAGTGGGGGGGGAGGATGATCAAGAAGAACGAGGAGAAAGTAGAACACGAATGAAATTTCCATGAGAGAAAAAAATCTCTCGTAAGCACACCAGAAGTTTCAACCGATCCTCGATGAGATGTACGTCGACGTTATAAGCTGCCTCATGGCCGAGTGGCATTGGTAGGGCATTGGGATGATGGGAAGAGTAAGATTCATCATTGAATGAATCGCCGAGAGAAAAACGAGGTGGTGCTGGCATCAAAAGGTCTGGGCCTGCTTTTTGCATACGCCGGTAGACGCGATAAACGCTGTCCACGGCGACGCCACCGGCGCCAAAGTCCGGGAGAAAGAAGAATGCGCCGAAGCAGACGACGGCGAACGTCAAGAAGACCAAGAGGATCAGGTACTTTTCGCGCGGCCGGAAGGAACGTCTCGCAAACAGTGACGCCGGCGCGCCGCCGTTCGCCAGTCTCTGATACGACGGGAGGATACCACCACTCGCCGACGTCATTGCACTAAACAACTAACACGACACCCTCTTCGATGATACTTTACTCGCGTGTTTCTTAGTTCGTTTTCTTCGTTATTTAACACTGAGTGCCTACGATACTTCAACGTATTTCACGCGACAGATTTCGACCGCACGGACAACACTCGTGTGCCAAAGAAGAAGCGGCTTAACGTCTCCTTCCTTGACTACTTTCTGACAACTCGACGATTACCAAAAGAAGAGAGGGCACACTTCACTCTGTCTGTCTGTCGCTCTCTTTCTTTCCAACTTTCTATACTGTCTTTACTTCTTTCTTTCTCTTCCCTTCCTCCCAAAAGCCCTTCCTTCCTTCCTTCCTTCCTTTTTGTTCTTTCTCTTTTCCTTTTCTTTCTTTCTTTCTTTCTTTCTTTCTTCCCTTCTTCTTTCTTTCAATCACGAACAACCCGACGAAACGAAGCGCACTCGCGTGTGCGTCGTTGCAACGTTTTACTTTGGCCCTTGCACGCCATTACGGTCATGGTGCCACACCAGCGCCATCTGACAACCAGCCGACACACGTCTCTTATTCGATGTCATCAATACATAACTAAATAACCCAAACATTTTTTTATATTATTCATTCAATAGAAATATCATTCATTTCATGCCTTTTTTAAATCAACATTGTTTTCCTCAAGTTTGAAATGATATTAAATTTTGGAGATCGTAATGTTTTGAATAGTATTGAATATTAAGAACTATTATAACAAATCTTGATTTGTACTTATTATTAAGCTTTTAAAGTAAATACCGTTCAAACCTAAAATCTAGGTTAGACAAATTTGTAAATATATTTATTTATGGAATTTTCTTCTTTATTTGTGTAAATATTATGTTTATTGAAAATAGTGCCAAGTGAATTTAGAAATCTGTGAATAAATCTATTAAACAGTATTCAGTAATCTTTTTTCTATTTGAATAATGTTACAAACACACATAGTAAAATATTTTCTCCTTTAATTAGGTGTTTGATTATTGGTGCATCAAAAAGTGAAACTACATTATTGTGAAACTTAATTACTTGATAATTAAAAAGTTTCTACGATAACTAAATTGTTTTTAAAATGTATTAAATATCTTTTTTATTTAATTTCTTTTTGTGTCAAGGATGAGTAAATATATGTAAAGTATTTAAATACCACTTCATTCTTCTAAGTCTCAAGATATAACTTTGATAAGGTTGCATTACTTTCTGAGAGAATCTAAATAACCGTCTATTTTGAACTGGGAAAAAATCAAACGACATACACTTTTCAATTGTATAAATAGTATTAATAGGATTAATTAGAGTAGAGTAACTATATTTGTTTGTAAAATTTAAATAAATTTCTTTTTTGTACAATATACCTCAAAACAAGATATAGTCTTACAATACAACGTCAACAATAATATAGTATTTCCTATTTTGTTACGATTCCAGTTTCTGCCTTCTCTTTGTCGGAACAAATTTTGTATCTTCTTACATGATTTTTATTCATTTTTGCAACCAGCATTTTTCTTCTACAATGTCTTTAGGTAAGACAATTCAAATCCATTGAAGATATGACATTCATTTTTGATACAATGTCTTCTATAAGCTGCGTTGCAATTGCTGCTATAAAATCTTTTAATCGATGATTTAGATTTTGACCATCCAAATATTTTTATACAAAACATAATTTATAACCAATCAAATAACTAAACAGAAAACAAGATTTTACTTCTATCCATTAACTTCTGTTTAAAGAGAATATACATTATAAATATGACTTAACATTACATTTTGTAATATTGCTAATGCTTGATAAACAAAATAACTGCGTCTTAAACAGTGGATCATGATTTGTGTAACTGAGAGGAATCATTAAGATATAACATTGATATAATGCTTTTAAATCTATTTTTAGACATTAACGGTACTAAATTGAAGGATTGTGACAACAAAACAAATACGAAGGCATATGACGTCAACGAACAGCAAAGTATTAAGCTTAGTTTCCATCTGCTATGTAGCTTCGATTACAGCACTCTCTACATTCGACTACCTCAACTACAAATCAACTTTTGATTTATCTTATAAGGCGCGATTTTTTTTTTAAAATGTCTTCCTTGTTCGATTAAGAATTTCGACTGATCAAGTACTTAAAAATGCTGTAACACTTTTAAATAATAATAAAGGATTTTAATACAAACAATTGTCTATTAATTTAACCGTTCAAATTGATTAATTCCTCAAAACAAAAAATATAGAAAATTAATTGAATTGAATTTATTTATAGCGCCTCAAGAAGAAAGAAGCAACTGCTACAACAGCGCTCTCTATTTTACAAACGCATTTTCCCGCCTTCCGACCTGTAGAAATGAGGGAGTGGGAGACTTTAATCTCGGACGATTTATATTATATCATTTATTACTCAACTATCATAAAAATTTGATCATTTAATTGTAATAAGCTTAATTTTAATGAAAACTATTTCAAATCTAAGAAGTTAAGCAACAATCGAGTGTTTTTTGGCACTAGGATAATAAAAAAAATTTTACAAGGTAAGGTAATTAATTACGTTAGCCTGTAAACGACTAAACTATAAATAACAAAAATGATTTCAAAGTAAATCAACTTTTATGAATCTAAAACTTAGTAATTTCGTGATATACATAATAGATACTAAAGTTAAGGATAGAAAAAAATAATACAAAAAGACATTTGTTTGTGAGAGGAAAAATAAAGTATTTTTAAAACAAAATACTTATACAAAAAGTATATAAAAAAAAAGAGAAAAAATAAAATAAAATAAAACGAAAGTTTGTACATTGATCTAAACGAAAATATGACATAACATAATACATAAGTACAATAATATGTAACATTTAACATTCGTTAACATAAAATAAAATTCACGCTTACTAGGAGATCAAGGATTTTTCTTTACCTCACTCATTCATGCACGCACGCGCATTCTTTCTCTGTGTTTGTCTTTTTCTTTCTCTCTCTCTCTCTCACTCTCTCTTTCTCTGTTTGTCTCTCTCCCTTTCTCTTTTTATTACCCTTATCTTCTTATTATCTTTATCCGAATTATTTCCCTACGTATCTTTTCTAACTTACGAGTAAGTTCTACGTAGCACGTCTAGTATCACAATTCTGCATTTTCTTTCGACTAACTAATCTCGTAATATCGCTATTTGTTTATAACAGATTCAGAAATACATTCTAATTAACAACTGTTCGATAATAACAATTTGCGGAGCTATATAAAATTCGAGAACGATAGCATAAGCTATTTACACAATAGGTCATTAAAATTATTAACATAAGACGGATTCCTGTGAACTTAACAAATTCTATAGGGTTCGCGAATATTGTATATATCTATACGGTATATAAATTACGTTACCGTATGGCGATGACTTAAAAAGGTACAATTAGAAAAAAAAAAAAAATATTAAACTAAAAAACTTATAAAAATTTATACATAATACGCATAAAATAATACAAATGTCAGTGAATTAATAACTATTCGACGAAGGCCTTTGATTCGATATTACACTATCTGATAATTAGCTTATGTACAAAACGATTATCTTAACCCGTAACTTGTAAATTGGGATCTATCAAATTCCAGCAGTTGCTTAATACTTATTGTAACAAACTTTTCCTTTTTCTTCAAAATTTGTTTTTAAATGTTTGTGAAAAAATTTAAATGGACTAGTTTTTAAATAAAGTAATAGATATTATTCATAATACTATTTTATCTTATTTTGCTAAAGTTCTTCTAAACTTTTAAACGCTTTTCAAAGATCCTGCTAACTTTACCATACTATACACATAATAATATCGGTTACGGGTTAATAATAATGCACTTAATATACCTTTGTTTAAAGGTTTGTTGGCATAATGAAGAACACTATTCCATAATGTAGTCTATTAACTTAATATCTAACAAAGAAGTTTAAGTCAATGTCAATTAAAGACACGAGTTTAATTTTTCGGCTGGAAACGGGCCATGTAAAAATCACAATCGGAACAAAATTTGGCAGGTTCCATCACCTGTTTTTGTCGACAAAGATCGCAAAGTACACTCCTAGCCGCTAATGAAGCAACTATGCTTGACTTCAGCATAGAAGACGATGTTTGGCTGATCGGCGTGCTACTCTTCGCGGTGGAAAGAAAGTGGATTTGTTTGTTCTGTTTAGGAGGAGGTGGATGTTGATAAGCTGGATATTTCATGTTTGATTGGATTTGTCCGTTCTGTAAAGGATTAGGATAAGTTTGATTAGGTGCCAAAACATTTTGCTGATCCTTCTGCGGTGGTCTCTGATAATTGTCGTACCTCTGTTGATAATTATGAACGGTTTGTTGCTTTTGTTGATAAGACAACGTCGTCGATGATGTTGGATTAGGTGGTGGTTGATACTGAGGTAAAGGTTGATTAATCCTGTTTGGTTGAGGCACTGATTGATAAGGATAATTTTGACAATTATTATGAGAATATTGATTTGGATAAGGGCTTGGCGATTGATTCGATGGATAACTCAGTTGTTGTTGAGAATACTGAACAGTTATTGGACTGGCATTGTGATTGGAAATCCTCTGATTAAGACCATTTTGATGCTGCTGTAAACCACTGGCTGATAATTGTTTATTCATTTGATTGTGTTGCTGTTCTAACTGATAAAACTTCTGATAAGTATTCTTCTGACATAAATTCTTTTGCTGCTGAGACACGGACGGTATATACTGATTACCATGCATCTGTGTCGGATAAGGGCTAGCCGGCTTCTGCGTCTGTGATATTGGAACATTCTGATTTCTAGGATGAGACGTTTGAGTTTGCGTGTAAGAAGATTGTGATGATAAATACTGTGGATACCCATTTTGAGAATAACGTATTTGTTGTTGAAGTTGTGGAGAATATGAAGTTGGTGGTGGATTTGAAGCAGATATAATCATACCAGAAAATGTTTCTCTATTTGTATCCTGTGCCTCAGTACTATAAGATCCGCATATTTTTTTGTCTACTACTGAACCAATAGAGTCATTTGAATTTTGCCTGCCGAACATCGGCTTGATGTTTTCAGAAATTGAAATAGGATTGACGCTTCTTAACTGATCCTGGAATGGTGTCGCAGGTACACTGTCAGCTTCACATTTAAGAGGAAGAGTTTGTTGTTGGAATCTCGGTGTACTTTCTCTGTTCATCTCAGCTTCCTGAAGATTTCTAATTTCACGAAGTACTTGAGCAGATTCTGGTTTGTTCATAGCAGATCGTAAAACTCTCTCCAAGATGGGATTAGGTATGTACGAATCTTTTTCGTCATCTTCAGCTGTAGCTACAAGAACTACTTGATCACAAAACGACACGCTCTTCTTTTTACCTATCCTCCTCTTTACTTTCCTCAATTCTATATCCTCTTCGTTCGGAAGTATGGTTTTGTTTTGTATGGTATTTTGCATTGCTACCTCACTAATATCGTCTTCAGGATAATCAACAGGTAGTCCATTCTCGTGTGGTAATGTTAAAGACATCGAGAGAATAGCTGCGTTTAATCCACTCTGTTGAACAGTGCATGAACTATCAGAAGGTATAGTTGATATATAAGTATCTTGATTAGTCGTGGATTCAAAACTTGGACTTTGAATTGGTTGATTAGTGAAATTATTCATTTTAGGGAAAGTATTCGAATTATCTGAAGAATATTTTAATCTCGTTTCGTCTACTTGCTGATGTTCATGAGGCATATCAATCGTTGGAGCGACAGCGGGATTTGAATTTGATTGTTTCGCGGGAGGTTTAGGTTCGGAGTCTACTTTCGAGCTGATTTGTAATTTATTTTGTTCAAATCTCGCTGCCATATCTTTGACAGATGACACTACTCTAGGACAATCGACAACGTCGCGACCTACCGTATCATATCCAAGACTATTCATCATTAGATCACTTGTTCTCCTAGCTATGCTTGTTATTTGATTCGTATTGATAGATGGAGACCTAATTTTTGGTATATCTTGCTCGAGCGAAGCCTGATTTTTCATTCTTTTTTCTGCCTGTTTAGCTTGAAGTTCCTTCAGCCAAGTCTCGCTCGCAGATTTCTCTTCTTTCTCCTGTTCTTCGTTCGTTTTTAAATCCTTCGAGTCGGAAGCTAAAATCTGTTCGTTCTTTATTTGCAATTGAGAGAAAATATTATTCAACGTTTGAGTTTCTAGTCGATGTAATCGTTGCTGATTGGAAACGTATAGTTGCTGAAGAGATTGTTCTCTCTGAGATTGATTCTCTTGAACATGACCAATATTATTCTCGTCGATTGGTGGCGGCGGAGGTGGGAAATCTTCGCTAGCTTGTCTGGAATGTGACACTGAATGGATAGATGGGTATGGAGGGGGCGGGAATTCTTCACTCGGTTGTCTTGAATGAGAGATGTTTCCATTTTCCGGATAGGGTGGAAGAGAATCTAAAGAACCTTGCTGTTTTATAGGACTTTGTTCGCTGTGTACATCTGCACGAGTAATCACATAGGTAGGCTCATAAAGAATACCATTAGCATATTGAACGACATCGTCCTGAATTCTAGGCTTGTTGTTATAATTAGTCTGAACATTAGCAGGATGTCCGTTTTGTTCCATACCATAAGATGGAATAAAAGGTAAGGAATGCGACTCCGTCGAGTAATCAACATAATTAGAATTACGATTCGATGAATTTGACGAATTTCCATTGTTCATGTGGTTCCAATAGCTGTTGTTTTGATCTTGAGATCCTGTTACTGTGTTAGATGAACATTGTCCGTCTGAAGTTGAATACGTGGACTTATCAGCTTGCTGATCGCTATGCACTTCACCCGAACACTTAGACTTGCTAAGCTGAGAAGTGGTTCTGACAGGAGGTGGTGGTGGTACCTTCGCTACATGTAATACTTTACCAGCACTACCGTGGAAACTCTTCCTCATTAATCGACTTCTTTCCAAGTTCGGATTGCTCGTATTCCCAATATTATTATTGGCATTTCCAGCAAATTCCAAATGACCTTCGGACAGGTAACCGCTCAGAGATTGTGCCATTTCGTTACCCTTTAAACCAACACTGGAATCGTCCACGGATTGCTTTGGCAAAGCGTTCGAGGTACCTTCCACGTTAATATTTGCTTGATTGTCCTGTCCCTCTCGCAAATCAGGCATGCTTCGATTCTTTCTTTTTATTAGCCCACCCATCAATAGCTTCCTACGAATCTTATGCTGCTTTTTACCCTGTTTCTGCTCAGTCACGTTCACGTTATTTTGTTGAGAAACTCTTAAGTTCGTTGTACCGACTTCGATATTCTCTTTTGATTTCTCAATCGATTTGGTACCTTTCGGAGAGGGTGAAGTGCGTGAAGGTGCTATAGAAAAGTCTTTCGATATGTTTTTATTTCTTTCTTCGCTCCTAGCTCGTTTCTTATCCTTTTTGTCGTCATCGCAACGCTTTGTTCGACCAAACAATCCGGTTCTTTGAGTTGGGCGATCATGGAGCATATATTCCTCGTCCTCGATAACATTTACAGTGGTAGCTTTGCTTCTCAACGTCTTTTTCTTAGGCAGAGTCGCATAAATCTCGATACTTTTTGTCGTTGGTTTCTCCACAACTGCTACTGGTGCATTTACTAACAATTCACGGCTATTCTGTCGAGAATGATTACCTTTATCGCGTGAACTTTGTCGAGAATGTTGACCAGACTTACTATTTTCTCTTGAATGCCTACCCTCAACTGCTCCTTCTAAAGACACACACATACATCAATTAAAATCTTTTTCAAAAGTTAAAATATCAAAAATGTGAAAACGAATGCATACCTTCTTTCTCAACATTAGCTGACGTTTGTTCTTGTAACATTCTTCTTTGTAAGCTCCTAGTTTTCATCACACAAGTATTGTGTTTCATTCTTGCGTTCGAAATTGTATGATCGTTGTTGTAAGGTGCTTCCATTGCAGCCCTAGCTTTATTACTAGCTGCTTTACACAAAGCTACAGCCGTGCTGAAATCTCCAGCTTCTTCGGCAGCTCGAGATTTGTCCAGAAGGGCATCCGTTTCCTTACAAAGACGTTCGCAATCGTCTTTTGATGAAGGTTGATAGCCCTCCGGAATTTGAGCGAGCTGTGGTAAAGATTCATTGATAAGAAGAATAATGCTTATCAAATGATTGTTATTGAATGATCTATTGAAAGATCTTAACCTGTAGATTGTGTTTAAGACCCTGTTGAAGTGGAAGACTGTCCGTAGAAGACAATGAATATGAATCATATCCAGCATCATAATGCCCACTACTACTGCTAGACAATTCACCAGATTTGCTAGTTGGACTTTTAGGAACTCCAGAATTTCTCTGAGCTTTATTGACAAAATACAAGTATGGATTTTCTATGGTCGTGGACGAACTGGAAGAAGCACTATTCCTGTCGCCTGACCAATTTCCAGAATCTCGTCTTCTTGGCACGTTCATATGTTCTGGTATACTAATCCCATCTGAAGGCGTTGAGCCGGCACTGAGACTCCTAGTTAATTGCATTTGTTGCTTTTTTTGTTGTTGCATTACGCTCTCTACCGCTCTACGACTTATGTATTTGGATTCGACCTCTCCATCAACCACATCAACACTCTTGAATAACAAACAAATGTTCCTTATTTATTATACAAAATAATTAACTCACAAAAATAAATAACAAAAAGAACAATTATTTAAGAAAAAATAACAAACCTGATTATCAAAAATGTTGTTCTGTATTTCTGTAAGATTTTGATAATCACTATAAATTCGTTGAGCGATAATATGAGGAGGACTATCCGGATTAGGAGTAATGGCACGTCTGGCTGTATTGTTAATCGAAGGTTTCTCTGGACTAGGTGTAATGGATCTACGAACGTTGTTCTTCGGTGGAGTTTTCAATATGTTTCCACTTGGAAATCGTGTAACTGTTTTCGGGGCGTTTTCAGTATTTACCGGAGTCCCATCTGGTGTTGCATAAAGTAATAGCAAGGGTTGATATCTACCCCTCCTACATTTCTCAACGACCTGTTCCCATCGTGGTCCTATTTCTTTAACTGTGGCATCGTCAAAATAAATCCAAACCTAAAGAAATTAAATAGAGATATTAATTTTAATTCATTCAATACTCTGTATTTAATCATTAGGATTATTTATAAAAATTAAACAAAGCTTACCTTTAGTTTAGTATGAAAAAAGAAAGTAGAGTAATGTTTTCCATAGTAAGTAACAACCCCAACAAGATTATGTATCGTTGAGGCACCCCAAGATGAGTCAACAACGCTATGGAAAACATCAGTAAGTCGAAGGGATGTTCCTACCGTAGCGAATACATCCATTATATGATCTAGGGACGGTCGTTCGCTATCCCAAACAACCCCAACGGAAACTATTTCCGGTCGATTAATGAGCGTCCTACAGATTTGAATCTTTGCACCACACGAACTCTAAAATACGATATAACGTGTTAATTGACAAATCTTAAGATTCGATTAGAAAAATGAAGTTCTATTTATTTTGTTTTTCCACTTACTGGACAATCACGAATGTCACCCATTCCACCGGCTCTCCTCAAAAGTTGACCAAAGAGATCCGGACTGGTTCGTGAGTTAGCTTGAGTCTGACGAGCTTGCGACGTTAATGCTGATGCTGAGACATAATGGACCATCTGCAATAACAACGTAGTTCTCTTTCTCTTTTCTTCTAATTAACGATGATCGTTAGCATCAGCTAGGTTTCTATCATTATCTGTTCGTAATAATACTCGTATCATAATTATCCGACGACTTCGAAGACAATGCACGTCTTTGATTATATTAACGACCAACCAATCAATTATCTTTACGAGATAGTTAGCCGCGTTCTCAATCGATGAATACAATGCATCTATGAAGTTTACTCTAGCATGGAGTTGAATTTCGCAACCGATAGAACGACTATGTATATATCAGCATTATTTCGTAGTACGCTTTCAAAGGCGGCATGATAAATACTTTTATGGGGCGTAAAGCAATCTAGAATTCGATATAGAGTAGATATACACGAATCCACGTGGGTGGAGCCGTTTCCTTAGGGTTCTTTTGTCTCTTGGCGAGAGAGTACGAGTAAATAATAATAATAAAAAAACAGTCTATACAACAAACTGGCTCCATGCATCGTGTGCATCGGTCATGGCCGATTACTTTTACCATGTCCCCCACGAGTAGTTCTTGATTGATAGTTTCGAACGTGCTACTTTCGTTTAACGGTTGTCCTTTTGGAGTAGGTAGTAAGATCTCCTGAATTTTTCTTATAATCACTGTCACCCGTAGATTACACCAATAGAAGAAAATAGATTTCCCAACGAATATCTATCTGCTCGAGTTTAACGAGCAATAAAATTGTATCTTGCACATGCGTGTACATATACGTTGTCTACCAACTGAATTGGATATCTCGATCTAGAGTTCTAATTAATTAAGAAGGAAAAAGTAGTTGGATTGCGACAATCTTAACTACTGACTCGAATAAATACATTTTGCAAGAAATCATTAATAATGTAAGAATAATCTAACTATGTTTCTAAAAAGATATCATCGATATCACCGTCTTAAAATCCTTTCTCTTTGAACCCCTTCGAATGTCGAACAAATGAACTGTTAAATCGTAATTGCCTGGTCGAAGGTTCAGAGTATCTGAGCAAATGGCTTCCAGCTTAAGTCCCCTAAATCCCGTAGGAATCGAGAAAAGGGCATTTTCGATCCCTTTTTTCATTAGCAGTCGCAGAGAACCCTTGCACCACCCACAAGGACCCTTTTTCTTTCTTCTGCTCGTCAATCGTGCAGAAAGAAGATTAACCTGAAAGGCCCTGCAGTCTTCGATTTATGTATTCTTGGTATATAACCCTTTCCAACGAAATTTCGCCATATCGTTTTTACCTGAGAATCTTTAATCGTGAGAAATATTTCTATTGGAGGAGATGCTTCAAAATTTTCTCGATTGAATTTAATCCGAATGAGTGAGAACCAAGGACAGGTTCGGTTAATATTATTTCGTTTGAGGTCTCCACAAAATGTCAGATATCGATTTAGCGATACATAACTTCGAGCTATAAATAAATTAGATAATAGTGTAAAAGGGACGTCGACGAACCTGCGTAAAGGGCAAAGGCTCCGACGTGGCTCCGCACGCACCGCAAACGCTTTGTTCGACGAGGGTCATAGCAAACTTTTGATGTGGCACGCAATGTCCAGCACTACACATGTCCTCCGCTTGTCCGCTGGCAATATGCAAATGAATACGCAGCAGAATATTTTCCTGAAAAAGAGGAAAAGAAAACTAATGAATATCGTTAAATCACACGTGAAATAATTATTAATAAATCGACGTTAATAATATATTCCACAGATTCATAAAGAATGCACGATAAATTAAAAAAATACTTCAATTAAACAAAATATTTATTTCAACGTAGAGATAATAATCCGTTCTTCGTTCATTTGATAACACTTCGTCAGCAGAATTATTATATTACAAGGAAAACTTTGTAATGGACTTTACGAGCTCACAATTACGTTCCTGGTGTTATCCGTTGTTGATCGATGTCGACACACGTGCATACATATTTGCGTTAAACGTGACCACGTTGTAAACGAGAAAGTGGACTCTCGTCGGCATTTGCCGATCTCTCAAGGATCGTTCAAAGCTTGGCTTGTTAACCGATGCTAGGAACCATTAGACTATTATATTGCGGTTGGTGGTGAAAATTTTCGATGACATTAAAGATGAAATTTTATCCTTTTATATTCATTTTTGTTGTTGTTATTATTATTATTATTATTATTTGTGCCTATTTAAGTAGGTAACTAATAATTGACGCGATACTTATTACGGAAACAAATGTACACGAAAGACACCAAGATGAGTTAATAAGAAAATTCGAGGAAAGAAGATAGTAATGATGTATATATGCATGTAAATGTTACGCGTATGTGCATATGTGTATATCCTTATGTACATAGATTCGTGTGGTACTTACGAAACATTCTGCAGCATCGTCCATAAATCCAAGCTGAAACCTTTGCTGATCAAGAAAGCTCTCGGCGAGGGCGCGACGCAACGTGTCGGGTGGCAAGGCACTTTTTTGCGAGGACTGCAATTCCGAGAACAGCTCCTGTGACACACAACGTGACGAAGATTTAATGTCGGTCTTTCGTTAAAGAAAAGAAAGATGGGGAGAGGGATTGACTCGATCGGCAAACGAATGCTTTCAAACGAAACTCGTTGTTACACTTCTTGCTCACGATTGAACGCAAATTAAATCGTCTCGGGGCATTAATCTTCCTTGGTGATCGGCTGATTTTTTTCTAATTTTCATACTCCCATTGAACTCAACATTGAACTTTAAATACAAATATTAAAAGTTGTTCATCGATTGTACTCAACGTTCGATAACAAAATATTCAAAATTTGTTTTTTTCATCCAATTCAACGTTGAACATAGAACAAAAAATTGGTACAAAGGTATTTAAAATTAATCATCGATTGGAGCTCAACGTTGAAATGTAAATATTAAATTTAAGCATACGGGATATTCAAAGTTGCTTAAAAGTGTGTTAAATTTTTGTACAATGATTCATTTCTACATAATATCCACAAACTTTCGTCGATTTTGCAAACATCCAACAACAGTGTTCCAAGAGGAAACGCTCTCTCTTCGTAGTATTTGCGATATCTCGTTTAACAGACAATCGATTCAAGGAAACGCGAGCAATTTCAAAAGAGGATGCTAGCGAAAGTGCGAAAAACCAACTCTGTGTGAACACATACGAAAGATCTCTTATTCATTCTTCTTTAACCAAAATAAAATGAACCGTATAATAGCGAATACGTAATCTTCAATAAAACAATTCTAAATTTTGTTACTTTAAAAAGATTTACAGATTTCAAATAGTTTCCTCCCGTGATCGATCGAAACTCTAAGCGATCTCTTTCGTAATTACATTTTTTTTTAACAAACACACGAATGCAACAACATTCGTCTGTAGAAAGTCACCTATGACTTGCAACAACAAGCTGGCCCGATCTTGCTCAACGTTAACATTTCGAGAGACGATGCTAGAGAAAAAAGGACAGATAAAAAATTGATGCATACAAGAATAAGAAACATAAAACAAGCATGAATCGTCTTTGACAATTTATAATACTTGCGCAATTATAAATTGAAAAAGGAAACTCTTTGTAATTCGCGATCGCATTATTCGTTACGTGTAATCCCGATAGATAAATATTTCAACAGGATTAATGCATAAAAAAAAAATAAGATTAGTTATGTTTCTCTCTCTGGTCGATTACAATATTCCTGAGATAAAAGATAAATGTTCGTCTTACTGTATAAGAAAGCATTTCATCGTAGTGTCATTCGTATCTCTAACGAACCAATTCAGTACTAGTTGTGTCTAACTTGAAAAGCTAGAATTGATAGCACAAAGACCGGATTCAAAATGTTCCAAACCTGATCTATGAGCATGACTAAAGAAAGACTATAGGTGAAAACTCTTCCTGACATACGGGATTTGATAACTTTCCCGATGAAAGTACATTTCTTATTAAAAAAAAAGAAAAAAGATCGTAAAAATAATCATTGAAAGGGAATCAAAATCAATGGGAATGTAATTGAATATTTATCCTCGGAATTAAAAGTAGTTCAAACTTTAACTTAGAAATATATATATATATTAATTTAATTCAATGAGACATTTAAGGAGAATAATCATTATGAAACAAGTTTGCTGGAAGTCGAAATTACAGGGCGTTTTCATCAAAACTCTTGAATGAAAGACGTTCGATCGGTTTTATGGCAAGATATAGTAATGGAAGTGACAGATGTGTTACGAAGAGAAGACCAGTACATATGTGTGTACATACGATAATACTACCGGAACGATCACGTGCAAGCGTGGAGGATGTCGCACCTGTTCGAAGCTGGTTAGTTGTGCGTTCGTAAAGGGGGGACAAAAAAAAAGAAGAAGAAAAAAAGAGACAACCAGCCGGTTTTGTAGAAATTGTGCTAAGCCCCTTTCGAACGAATGGGGAAGTGAAATCGGCGAATAACAGCTAGTTTATTGATCACTTTTTAATGACTCAACTTTTAGTAGAGATATAGGAAAAAAAAGGATGTGGAAATAATAAAATAAAGAAATGAGAATAAAAAAAAAAATGAAGAAAAATTATTTCGAATCGATGCAACATTTTTTTTTCGAACTAATACTCTACCATTGAATTTAAGTAGAACCATGTGTTCTCTCGAGTGTTTATTATAAGTTTCTACTTTAACGACGTTATTACCCGACCGTAATCATGTCGTTAGATTTATCAATCGCATTTGATGAACATAGAAGTTGTTAAAAAAAAGCCATCCCAACGATAGAAGTGATCGATAATCTTATGCGATAGAAATTCTTCAAAGTAAATTAAACACAGGATGTTGAAGAAAGACAACAAATCGTTTAGTAAAAACTACTTGAGCCTACTTTTTTCAGATCATTTAGGTCCATATTCGATGGTGAATCTTCTCTCTCCATTCCACTATCCTCTTCTTCTTCCTCTTTCTTATTCGTGACTTCATTTTGAATCCTATTATCTTCCTCCTTGAAACGTTGAGACGAAGCTGATGAGACGGATGAAGTTGAAGAAGTTGTGGACGACATGTCCTGTCGTATTTTTATCCACTTCAACATTTCGTTTATTCTTCTCTTTCGAGGGGACACACACACACAACAAAGAAAAATAATAATATTCTTTTCACGTTGTAATAAAGACCATCATAATGATCGATACATTCTTCATACGTTTCCTCGGCATTTGCATTATTTCTTCTTGGCAGAGTAAAGTTGCAACAACGAGTTGGGAATACCAAAGACTTTCTATCCTTATATAACACGTCGATAAACTCAAGGATCAAGGAAAGAAATATCTATGAGTTAATATAAATGTTATTTTCTTGGAAGAAGAATATAAATATGAACAAAAATAACAAAACGCGAAGGAGTTTGGAGGCGGGGAGGGGGGGGGGAGGAAAAAAAAAACTTGCAGTCTATATCGTACTAATGTATGATGCTTCCTGCTAGAGAAGTATGATGATCATAACCAAGGTGATCGCACGGTGAACAAGCTCACTGAGAGAACCCGTTGCTAGATTCTACTCGTAGACTCGATTAAAAACATAAACTCGTTTGGTCGGTAGAACTCTCCACGGTAGAATTATCTTCGCTTTATTGGCCCTTGCTAAATATAAATTAATCCCATCATCTTGGATCCTCTCATCTTAAACAAATTTCTTACCGACTAATCTTGGTTATTCGAAATGTATAAGATAGTCCTCTCCCCGTCCCCCTGGTAAACCACGAAATCGATCTTTTCTTTTCCAAGATCCCCTGTCAATTTTCTCTTCGATGCGATTCACGTTCTAGCCGAAAGGAAACGTTTGCGGAAGACCTGGAAGAGTTGGCTTCAAATTACTCTTCCGGAGCTTAACGCATCGTCGCGTCCAAACTACACCACTTCCACCTACCACGTGCTTGCCAACTCTACCCTTCAAACATCATCATTTTATTTTATCTTCCGTTAAACTCTTTGCCCTTCTTCGATCTTACCAAGAAATTGTTATGTTCTTGGTACCTTGAAGAGTGAAAGGCGGCTAACTGGTAGACAGACGACACACTTCATGAAACGAACATATTAAGAATATATCTCAAAATCACAATGTTTTTCACTTTAGTCAAATCCAAATAAAACACTTGCTAGATCTTTATTATCATTTATTAATCACTCTAGTTTCTTTTTTTTTCTTTTTATTACACTTTCCTAATTATTCAAATAATTTGATTCGTCCTAACAATGATACAAAATCATTGAACCAAAGACGATTGATTGATAAAACAATTTGACGACAGTTTACTAAACTATTTGATTATAACTCTCTTATCATTAACGCGTTATATCAGAGGAAATACTGATGAGGTAAGAGTTCCAGACAAAGTGTGTACAAGAACCGAAGAAAGGAGAACGCGTTCGGTTGAAGTCGATCGTGGTCGAAGAACGTGGACAACGAGCACGAGACTACCTGCAAAGCGAAGGCAGCGACTCGCGGAGTGCTGCCGAACCTCCCCCACCCGTTTCCTTCTTCGTCTCTTCCCGTTCTCCTCTTCTTTCTAAGAGGCCGCACCACGGTGCCCCGTACCCCTTGTCCCTACTCCGATAGAACCGAGAGAAGCCAATGACGTCACCCGGTTAGCTGTCCTACGCTCACCAACTTGGCCGACTACTCGACCAGGATCGTATGCATGGTGAGTAAAAAGGAAGAAGACATTCAACAAAAACTAATACATTTTTATCATTGATATTGATCAATTTCTTCCAATACATTTCAATTGTTCTAATTCGAATGAAGATAAATTTAATCAAACATCATAATTATTATCAATCCGGCCGATGATTTATCCTAAAATTTTATTTATGCATTAACCAAAATACACATTTAAAATTCTACATGGATTTGATGACTCTCACGTTAAAGAAAGAGAGATAGATAGAGAGAGAAAGAGATAGGTCTAATAACGGTACCCCACGTTCATCTCCTTAATCGTTACGCTCCTGAGTCCTATAAGTTGTCATAAACGTTGCTAACTCTTAGACATAAGTTGCTTCACCACGATAACATCGTACGAGAGTAAGAGTAGGTATATATACAAGTGTAGGACTCTAGAGGATATCAAAGGAAGATTTGTCGAACAAAGTCAGCTTTTATATCTCTTTCTATATTGGTATTACACAAAAACGGACCCATACTACTAATAATCGACGAAAAAGTATCGGGAACGGAAAAAGTGGACGTGATTGCAAACCCGACGAGTGTATATACCTGGACCTGTGCTCATAGGCTGTAAAATCGACCCATATATATACCATGAGTTAGCAAACGAGTTTGTGCGATACGGGAGCAAGTAGTATAGAAATGAGTGCATGCGTTCGAACTGGAATTTACATTTCAGTGACAATGGGATTCGATTAACGGTACTTTTCTATAAAAATTTACATACGTTTACAAAGGATCCTGACATTCACGGAGTTTACTAAAAGTTTTGAAACGGGTTTCAAAAAGGTTCCATTAATAATGAGTTTATAATGAACCAAGTCGAATGGAATGAATATTCGAAATTTTTTTTTTTTTTGGAGTTAATAATTAGATTGTAATGTTCTGATTAATTATAAATTCTGACCTAAGATAACTTTACAAATGATCTTATGTAAACTTCAACGACCGGAATAGTTATTATTTAACAGGCCTAACGTGGGTAGTGTAGCGTAAAAGTGGTGGTAAGCATTCACATTACGTAGGTACCGATTGAATTATCAATATTTCTTCCTCGTCGTGTGGGACAGGATGTAGGTAAATGAAGTCCTGTTTGTGCAGAATTTGTGATATTAACGTGGGTAGTAGAAATACCATATATGGAATCGAAAATGTTTATACTATTCTAAGTTTCATCTAAACGTAATTGTTACGTTAGAAACAGTTAGCTGTAATAACCATAACCAACTGTTATATTTAATTACACGAACAATTAAGTTAAATAACTAATTGTAAGATTACACACATAGTGTTGTATTTCTTAAAATATCAAAAACAATTGTCAGAACGATTAATTAAAATGTTTCGATCTATAGGATAAGAATGAAAAAAAGACGAAAATGGGTTACTAAAGAATTCGAGTTTGACCTTAAAGGACAAGATACCCATTAACCCCAAGGGTCTAAAACCCTCACAAATTTTTTGAACTTGTTCCTAGCTTTAAATATGTTGCGATACTTTCGAACGTGTCCGGTATGAATCATCTATGGAATTTCTTCTGAAGAAATTCTTAGGTCAGCAATGCGCCCTTGTAAAGGTAACTTTTTTTCTTATTCTTCTTTTTAAATTTTTTTTTACTGGACATTTCATTACCAGCAAAGCTATTTACGCATTAAATATCGAAAGTTTAATTATTTGATTCTTTTTTTCTTCAATCGCCATTCAAAGATACGCCGGATCGTTTTATAAAATGGAAACCATGGGCATCCGACACCCTCAAGCTCGCGTCACGTGACCACGATTCATCGAGCGTGCATCCAAGTACTACTTCCATGGCGTCCAAAGAAGAACGAATTTCTCAAAGCTGCATTTGTATGAATTTGTGTATGTGTGTGTTTTTGTGTGCGTAAGCGTTCCTGGAAACCTGTTCCCTTCGTATTGAAGATACACAAGCAACAGGTAGATTTTCTTTGGGCACGGTTTCTACCTTTCCTAGATTCTCCTGAATGATTTTGTAGGGTCCGCCTATCGTATAGAAAATTTTCCCGGATGTACCTTTTGTCAATAAAAATAGCATTCCTTATAAAAGATTGAAATCATTCAATACAATAAACCCTAACGTTTTTGCCAAGCGTCGGTGGAACCCTTGGTCATTGGTCCATTTCCTAGGAAACCTATAAAAGGTGCAAATAAATTGACAAATTTTTGAATCCAACTGTCCAATGATAAAAGAAAAGCAAGTAACTCGTAACTGTATCAAGTATCGCGATATTATGCATTTGATATCATTGTGTGACATAATAGACGTCGCATCTTTTATTTCAGCTTAGATGAAATCATATACAATGGAGCTCATGTTTAAGTATTATATGCATACTTTACTTTCAACGACTCTAAAATATGTGAACTTACAATTAAAAATATTAATTGTAAGAATTGTAAAAAATGATATTTGCAAGCATCGACAAATAATGGAAAAAACACATATTACATTGATAATTATAATAAAAATGCCATCTATAATGCGAAAATGTTTATAAAGTATAACAATATACCAATCGTTGAAAAAAATTACCAGATAACGTCGGTAAAAACGTTCGCTATCATACCGACAATTTCAAATAATTCACTAGATATACACGTATTGTATACATACAGGCGTTAAAAAAAAGTGAACAAAATTCTTTTTTAAATTTACCGTAATTTATATCATAAAACGAAAGTATAGTATTAACGTAACCATTGGCGAAATAGCTTTGTAGTTAAATTTCGTTGTAGTCCTTCCGATGCGAACTCTTTCCTGCGAATTTCACGCGAGACAAGGCACTCTTTCGCCTAGAGCAATTAACTCTCGAGATTTCTAATTAACTCCGTGAGAAAATCGAATAGGGACTACTGTGGTACTAAAATTTCTTTGCCTGCTACTCAACCGGCACCAAATACTACAACCTTTCGTAACTTTTCAGTTTAATGAGTTAATTTCTCTTAACAAACAACTATGTACATTCGGTATTTAAGATCTTTTAGGAAAACAAAAAACAAAAGAAAAAATAATAATATATTTTTTCTTCGACTAATATCTTTCTTTTAAACAGCTGACCCCTTACAACAAAGACCGGTCCAGAGTAGTATCCATAGTAGAAAATACGTTTACTACGCTCGCTAAGAGAGAAACGAGAAGAGAGGAGAGGAAAACGAAGGAGAGAACCTTCGATACTCTCGACCAATCAGAGAACCAGAGATCAAGAATCTTGCAGGAGAAAGGTTCTTGGTCCAGCGGATCCGTTACAATGGCTCTTCGTGTATCTATACGAGTTGTAAACCAAGTGAACACGCTGATGTATTCCAACAATCAGGAGTAGCCATTTCGTAAGAGTTCTCTGATACATTTGAATATAAAAAGTGTGTCTGATAGTTTTGTTATCGTTAAAGTGTACAATTGAGATTATTCAAAAAATAACTAGGTAATACGTAAACTAGCTAGGCATGTTAGGTAACAGTTCTATTAAATAATATGAAAATTATCAAATTATAAGTCTTACATATTGATCTGCATAAATCATTGGATAAATAACAATTATACTCGTTATTTATCATAGATCAAAACAACGACGAGACTCTGAATTTATCTCGATCAATTTATCTTTGACACTTCAGCGAATGGTATAAGAAGCACTTAAGCTTTCTCTTTCTATCCCTTAAGTGTCTTCATCTTGAGTGTCTAATGTAAGTAGGCATTAGATAAGAACTCAAGCGGTTCGCTTGTATATGAGAAAAGATAAAACAAAAATGCGTGTTTATGACTTTGTACGTAAAAAAGTATCGAAGAGATTTTTAATTTAATTCTATAGAAAAAAAAGAGAGAGAGAGAGAGAAAGAAACAAATATAAAGTCTATAATATGTTGTACATACGAACGTAAAAGTTCATTTGATTTTCTGAGCTACTCAAAGGCGATTATACTGAACAACTTCTTTCCTCCTACAGGGCTCCTCCAATCATTCTCCATTTTTTACGAGCAGTTGATCCTAGTGACCTTTCTGTTGCTTACCTTGAGCGCACAGAAGATGCAGGATTCAGGCATACAAGCATGTCCGGAGAGTTCTCTGAAGCTACGTCTGAAGATATCCAAATGCCATAGAACCTGAAAGCAAAATCAAAATATTTTAATAGAGGATTGCGTAATAATAATTAACTTTATCACGTTAACAATTAGAATTTACTTATTCCTCTTTATACGGTCGCTAATTGTAAGGGGTTAAAAAAAAAAAAAAGAATAATCGAGGAAGAACAAACAATCGTAGACATATACCGCAAGCATAAGATTTAATATCTAGACGAAAGTGGGTTGATTCTGATTGCTTTTAATTAACTCAATGCGAGCCAATAAATCAAGTAGCGTGTCGGAGCAAGTGCAATTTCCATAAAAAAACGTGACTCTTGGGAATGTAGAAAAACACGAAGGCCACGCATTGAGGATTTTTTCTTTTTGTTTTTTAATGAGTTAGATATATGAATGAATTTGCTCAAGTATACACGTTCGGTATCCCTCGATGGTGTGCGATCGAAAATGTGTGAAAAAGAAAGGAAATATAGAATGAGATAGAAATAGAGGGAGTGAGAAAGAGAAGGGGGAGGTGGTAAAAAGAGGGGATGGTTTGTAAGAGAATTATGGTGGGGGATTTACTACTACAAGGAAATATGCAAATGTGTCTGAAAGTCTCAATACACTGTGTTACCATCAACCCATAACTATACATGATAGTAGCCCACCGTATCGTGAGTACATTATTATACCGAGGGAAAGTAAATCACAATTTCCGCGGGCGTGCACGTTGTGCCGCATAACATGGTATAGCATAGCATAGCGGAACATAAATTTCCCCTTTTCCGTTGTCACCGAGGAAATATCCGCTGCTATTAGTTCCCATCGCGTACAAATTTGTCTCGCCAAAATCCGACTAAATTGAATACTCCTAAAATTTTCTAGATAAATCGATAGCAAACTAATTGAATACTCACCAAATATTAACCTAATATCCTACTGATCGAGTACTATATTCATTCACTTCTTATTTCTCAATTAATACTGACCTAATTTAGTACTCAATCAATATCATACTCTTGCTAGCCTAATAAGTCATATCGTTCACTGTATATATATATATATATATATA